TTCAAAGTCTTCAACCAGTGTGAGATCAAAAGCTTTGTATTGCGAAAGTATGAAAAGTTGATTGATGGAACATTTGCCAGTAACACACCTCTGCTTGTTCATGTTTATGATGTGTAACTTAATTGTCAGATTTAAACAAGTAATAGAACCAAAACAGTTTTGAACAGTGTTCATTTTTTTCAGTTACCTTGCTTTCAGTGATTCTGTATTTCAAAGTGAACTTTCAGCGACGTTCCCTTACTTAGAACTGTTGTTATCTCTATTTTGTAGGATCCTCTGTACACCAAGTACTGGCAGGAACTTGAGGGCAGTGGCATTCTCAGCATGGAACATGTTGATCATGTTTTCTCCAGCTTTATTGACCCAATGCAAGGAATTGATAAAGAAGATATCCTAGGCATGATGGAGCAATTTGGTTTAATTGCTAAGTTCTCTGTTTCTCCAAATAATTTGAAGTACTTTGTACCCGCTCAGCTGAAGTCATCACCTGACAAACTTTTAAAATTGAAGCCATCATTAACTGATCCATGTCCAGTGTATCTCTTCTTCATGCATGGCTTTGTCCCGCATGGTCTGTTCTTACAGCTTGTCTCACGCTCCATTCGTTTTTGTGCTGAAACATGGCCGCACATGGCTCAACCTACCCTGTACGAAAATGGAGCACGGTTTATCGTTGGGAAAAATAGTCACCATTTTGCCCTCATTTGCAAAACAGGATTTATCAAGATAATCTTGCGACAATTGAAGCAAAGTCATCAGGTTGTGAAACAGAACACAGCTGAACTAGCAACTGTCATTCGTGAATTTCTTGAAGCAACTCTACAGGCTTTGCCTCAGGAACTGCCCTACCTGAGGCGACTGCAGTATAGACTGTGTGTTGCCTGTCCATATTGTTATCAAGGGACAGAGGAACCACTTAAAGCATGCTCAGACCACATCAAAACCACTTGCACACACAAGGACTGCTTCCACCTTATTGATGCAAATGAGGGAAATCCAACAATCTGTAGTCGAGATATCTGGGATGAAGAACGTACCATCAGTGGACTGGAAAAGTGGTTCTTGAGAGGAACACGCCAGGTATTTCCAGTTGATGTGTTGTTTTTTATCTTTCTCTGATTCATATTTTCTATCCCTCTCCTCAATTCTCTTCATTTGAGAATCAAAGGTATTGTTAGTAAGTGTGCAGAATGTTATCATAGCTAGCGTGCCTCCATTTTCAACGATAAGTCGGACATTTGTTTTCAAGATGAAATTATCTTTATAGGTTATACTTCTCGGTCATACATTAATAACCCTTTCACCCCCGCGATCTCATTAGCGATTCTCCTTACTGTCTGCCACACAGTTCTTATGATGTTGGTGTGGAGAATTTTGTATTGAATCAACCTAAATTCTCCTAATCGATATTTTTCTTAAGTCTCATTAGTTGTCTGCTTGATATTATATTGATAATGTAAGGAGAAATTATGTCTTGGTCACTCGTGGGAGTTTAAGGGTTCATGAATTTATCATTATAAATGGGTTGGAGCATACTCAAAATTTATGATGGTGTATATTTGTTACCAAGTGATAGGACCTATATGACCTCTCCCTTTTTTTTGCCTAGGGGTCAAGGTGTTCAAATGTCACTGCCAAATCACAGGGTGCAGCAGCTGGAGTTAATCTAATGAAGTCTGACGTGGCACTGAAGGTGACTCTTCTGGGCAGTGAATGGAGTTCATCAATGGGAGGCTTGTCCACCATAAACAGACAGCTTGCCATTCTGTTGGGCAAACATTCTCAAGTAGACGTCACCCTCCTTGTCCCGCAGTTTGCCTGTTCTGAAGAAGAGAGGAGAATGGCATCGCGTCACAATGTATCCCTGAGAGAGGCACAAAGACGTCCGGGCTATACCGACCCCCTTGACTGGCTGAGTGCCCCACCTAGAGATCTAGCCATTGACATAGTACTGGGTCATGGAGCAAAGCTTGGTAAACAAGCCCAAATTATTAGAGAATCGCATCAGTGCGGGTGGATACAGGTGGTGCATACTGTACCTGAGGAACTTGGAATGCACAAAAACTATGCTATGGCCATTTGTAAAGGTGAAGAGAAGAATACAACTGAAGTGGAGTTGTGTGAGTTGGCAGATGTTGTGGTAGCAGTTGGACCAAAGTTGACGAAGGCTTACTCTTCCTACCTGCGCTCATGTGAGAAGCACCAAGAGATCATTCAACTGACGCCAAGCACATTCAGTGAGTTTTCCGACGTGAAACAAGCAGCAATTGACATGGAAAAGTTTAAGGTTCTAACGTTTGGCCGGGGTGATCCAGAGGACTTCAGCCTGAAGGGCTACGATATCTCTGCCAGAGCAATAGTTGAACTGAGAGACAGATCTTGCCATTTGATTTTCGTGGGTGCACCTGACGGTAAACAGGATGAGGTTGCAGAAGATTTGCTCGAGAGTGGAATTGATAAAGGCCAGCTGACTGTGAGGAAGTTCGTACAGAGCAAAGAGAGATTGAAAAAATTATTTTGTGAAGTTGATCTCTGCATGATGCCTTCCAGAACAGAAGGTTTTGGTTTGACAGCATTAGAAGCTTTGTCTGCCGGTCTTCCCATTCTTGTCAGTGGTAATTCAGGATTTGGTGAAGCATTGAGCACTGTACCATCAGGCAAATCATTTGTGGTGGAGTCTGAGGACCCCAAAGAGTGGGCAAAGGCCATTGCTGGTGTCCGAGAGAAGGAAAGATCAGACCGACTTCATGAGATTCAGCAACTGAAGACTTCCTATGAAGAGATGTACAGCTGGGAGAAACAGTGTGACATTCTTGTGGAGAAGATGTGGGACATAGTTCA